ATTATGAAGATAAAGGCGCCCATAATATCGCTGTACCGGCGCTGGTGTTGCAGGAGTCGCAGCAAATGCGTCGATCGCAACACAAACACAAAACTAAACGGCAATCGCATGGGTTCGCCAAATATGAGGCCAACGATGGCCAGGCATGTGATGGCAAAGTCGAAACGATTCCAACCGCTCCGGAAGTACTGTATGAGACCGAAACCAATCAGTTTGAGGGACGCCTCCAAGCCGTACAGCGACACGAATATCAACGACAGGGGCGTCGCGTACAGCAGTTCCAGCTTCAGGTGATACGAGTCGGATGAAGAGCTCCGGACGATGGCTTCGATGAGCTGATAGACAGCGGACACCGCAATCATAACGTACACCGCGATGTCAAACCATTTATGGGACACCAGTCGATAGATGAGTCGACAGAAGGTCTTCAGCCACTTGTTGTCGATCTGTTGGAACCATTCGGCGGTGTTCTTCGACTCCCACCTCAGGTCCGACACCTCGTAGATCTCGTAGAACTCGTTGAGTGTCAGGAAACCGGATCTATTGGTGTCGAGCGTCTTAAACATGAGATACGTCTCGAGTCGGGTGGCCGACGGCTTATAGTATCGCATGAGTCCCTCGAAGTGTTTGAACGACACCTTCTTCAGTGTCTTTTGGGTCACAAGTAATCCGAAGGCCAGTCGACAGGCTTTGCGTCTGTGAAGCAATAGTTTACGGAATTTGTCTTTTTCTATGCGAGTGAACGCCTCGTACACTACGGCCAACATCTGTTCAATCATTGGTACGAGAGTTAAGACATTGATTACGAGGAACGGGAGGGAATGGAGGGTTAGATAAAAGGTCTCGAATCTGTGGTAAATGACTCACAATATTCATCAAGAAATACAAGTGAATGATCAGAAATGCGATGAAGAATACGCTGGAGATTCTGTTCATGCGATACGACGGCATCATTACGTCGGGAAAGCTGTACACGAAAATTGCAAACAAAAACTCAATTATAAACTCATAGACAACAGTGGCGTACACTATAACCAGTGGTACACTATATTCAACACATACTTAGCAGTGGTTAGCAAAACGAAAAGACTGACAAAGCTTTGGCTGATCGACGAAAAGTACTGTTCAGACAAACATCAGATTAATTCACGGCATAACACGCCTTAAGAGGGCGTTCCGAGTGATCACTAACCGGATCCGATGGGTTGGGAGAGAACAGATAGAACCCGAGTATCGCAAACACCAGCATAAAGAAGAACAGGAGGGCCAGCATATCGATGAATGGGGGCATCGACTGCAGTATCTGTCGCACCACTCGCCTAATGCCGCCGCAGTAGTGGTTGTCGATGAGGAAGACCGGGCGCAGGGCTCGGGTGACCCTCACGTGCGAGTCGCGCCGTATGAGTACCACCAGCGCCTCGACGATCATAATGACGAGTACCAC